TATTTCTTACTATTTTATCAATAAATGTCTTGGAATTTCAGGTGCCTTTGGAAATAGAAATACTTTTTCATGTATTGTATTTATAATGGCTTGCAGCTTTACAAATCATCATTATTTAAGCATGTAACTATTTAAGCGTGATAAGTGCACCATCGTGCCTCCCGTCCCTGTCCTGTTGTCCCCATTTATTCATACCTATTTCCTATATTCTTACTCATGTTTATACTTATACCTATTATCTTGTATGCGATTGACAAATCAAATAAATAAATAAATAAATAAACCTGTCTTATGAAGGGGAATGCAGCCAAAAGCATGTCCACAAAAAGGCATGGTTCATTTATGAAAGTCCATTAGTAGATGTGCAGCTAACACCTTGGAAAAAAGGCACAGAGTCACATGTTTTATATATATCTTTCTAAAAATTGTCTGCTAACCATTTGGCATCAGTAACAAAGAAAGAAGTGGAAAATCTGTATACTGAACTTGAAGCATTATATCTTCCCCAGTTGTTCCACTTCCTACTTAAGTACAAAAACTGGACTACGGAACACTACAAATATTTATCTACCAATCTTTATCTTATTACTAGCTCGATAACTGTGCTTTGCTACGAAACTAGGTCATAGTTTCTGGGGAGGAAAATAAGGGGGGAAAATTCTGCCTCTACCTACCAACATCCATTGGTATTTGTATGGCTAGCGTCCTGTCAGTGTGTGAGTCTAGTTTGGAAACTGAAACAGTATTTGCTTTTTGAGCAAGAAGGAGACAGCAAGGAGCCTGGGCATGGCTTAGCTCAACTGTTCTGTACTAAAGCTGCATGGTGCTCTGAAAGTAAAACTGAAACTGAAACTCCTCTCCTCTGTTTGTGTTTTGCATTTGGAACATATTTCTTTTCAAGTGGGGAAGGGAGTAGAACTCCTTAGCATCGGAGTGTATTAATAATAATATACGAAATACTAATGCTCTGATAGTCATTTTGAAAAACCCTTTGGCACCTAGAAGCCAAGGGGAACATACGTGCCAAATTTCAAGTTTGTAAGGCTTTAAGGTTCTGGAGATTTTGTGATGATATGTGAGTGGTATTTCATTTGAAGTTACACACACACACACACACACACACACAGCAGAGAGCCAGCACAGTTTAGTGTGTAAGGCATCACATTAGAAACCAAGAGACTGTGAGTTCTAATTCTGCCTTAGGCACAAAGCTACCTGGGTATCTGGGGCCAGCCATTCTCTTTCAGCCCTAGGAAGGAGGTAATGGGAAACTACTTCTGAAAAACCTTGCCAAGAAAACTGCAGGGACATGTCCAGTCTCTGAGAATTGGGCATGATTGAACATAGGAAAAAATATGATTTACCTCTATTAGAGGTTTTATTTTCTACAATCAATATTAATGTATAAATTTATGTATACATAAATCAATGCTTTAAACAACTGTATTCCAATTCAGGTGGATTCTAAATACTAGCTTTAAATTTCATGTTTAAATACACTAAAAGTGTTTTCGAGACCTCAATAGGAGATAGAGTTTACTTTAGAAATATATGGGGAATTTGGGACTCAATGGCACTGACGTACCCTATAGCTCTAACTAAAACAGGGAAAACTTAGAAATATCATATAAGAGATTTTGACACTTTAGAATTAATTGAAATTCATTAGAAGTATGACATGGAAATAATTGATTCATAAATAATATATAAAGTATTTGTGAAATTCATTACAGTTTCTAGTATCCAAGCAATTAAAGGCACAGAAAGTTAATTTTTGGATTTGTGTCCAAAGTCCAGTGTGGGTGAGAAGGGAAACGAGTTAAATTTTGCATCCCTTAGGACACAGCCTTCTGTTTACTCAACCTGTTGTAATTCTCCCTTTGTATTATTCTTTTTCTCTTTGAATACAAAACCATGGAGAAACGAAGTAACCTTTGTGGACCTATATTTGTGGCCACTCATAATAGTAGGCTGGTTGGTGATGAGCTTGATGAAATTTGTAGAGTTCATCTTTCTCCAACTCAATTCACTCATAAAACTTCACTTTTTCTCAGTTTTGGCTGTGACTTATTAGAGGCATTTCTCACAACTAGGTCTTCAATACCAATTATTTAATTTCCATAGTTCCGTATATCCATATATTAATGGTTCTACCTCTTTCAATATGTTTTCCAAATTTTCAAAAGGAAAGTTTTTTTTTTTAAGAAGAAAAGCTAAGATACTAATATGTTTTGTGCAACCAATTTAGATCTGGTATTTGTCTTGTAGTTTGCCTTGTGTTTGCATGCATGAATGAGTATCAGTGATATGCAGGATCCAAAGTAAGAACTGTCCTAAAGGGAAGCATCTAACCCTTTCTCTTTGCTAAAATTTTAATTGGAAACTCTTCCTCACTGTTGTTCACAAGGAAGAAAAGTTACCATTGGCAACAACAGAGCATCTTTTCTATTGTAAATAGCACTTTCTCGGGTAAACAGTGATTTTAATTAGGACCATGACAGGGCAGGTTGCTACTCTAATAGACTCTATCCCTTCGCTGTACTATATCAGCTATTTATCTTAAATTGTGTTTTAAAACAAATGAAACAACTTAAAAGCATAACTATTGACAAAAAGCAAAGGAACAATCAGAGTGTGTTTTACATCCAGTAAACAAAAATAATTATAATTATAGTGGCCGTTTATTTATTAAACTTAAACACCTTTTTTAATTTCCAAAAAGAAAAGAAGTATTTTTTCTCCAAAGACATCTGTTGAAAATTAAACTTTCCATTATAAAAACAGAACTTTCTTAATGAATTTTCTTTGGCCATATTAATAATTGTGCTAGGATGTCCTTTCTCATCACCCAAATATTTCTGATCTCCTATTTTCACTTAAATTAATGAGCAACTCTAGTCATCAAAATAAGAATATTCACCTACTTGAAACTAGGAAGGGTATTTGGTCTTTAGGAATAAATAATAGTTATTTATTAATATATTTGTGATTATGTTACCCAGCCTAGTAACAAAACATTTTCAAGAAAAACAGAAAAAAACCCAACCTATATGAGCTACAATTACAATGTTACTATTTATTAAATTTGATTTTCTACTAATTAATGACAAAATAAATAATAGATAATGTAAAGCCAATTAAATAAACAATTAAAATATAAATACTTAAAACTAATAGCCAAAGTAAAATTAATTAATAGATACTTACATCACAGAACAGGAATCACTATCTACCATAATATTGAAACACAAGATCTCTAAAATAAAAAAGTGACTATTTCAGGATCTATTTGTAGAACCTGTACCTACTTAAAAGATTTTTAACCAGCTACAGTTAGAAAATCATATTATTTAGAAAGTGTTTTTATGCCATCTTACTACTTTCTAAATGTACATTAAAACAGCTTTTCTAAAAATCTATTGCTACTGAACTGGCATGAATTTCAGAGATTTTCATGGGTGCAGGAATTTGTACAAAATTATAAGGTTTTCCTATAAATAAATTCTAACATTATGATAAATTCAATTTTTTCCTCTCTTTGACCAAGATTACATCCAGTTATGCTTTCAAATGAATGCTGACATGATTGTTGAAATTCATATGGATTTATTAGTAAGCAATTATTTTTTAACTGAGAATAAAGGTATTTAAATATTATGTCAGCAGTAAACATTTAAAATGCCTCCCGTATTTATATAAAAGTATGTCAGTTGCTCTGCTTGCTTTATCTCTTTATTTCAGTTTTGTTTAAGGGCATTTAAACTTTTTTCCTGTATGGATCTTACTGTACACCAGCAGTTAAGATACCTAATACAGATATGCAGGAAAAGACTTGTTTCTACAGATTAATTCTTTTTAAACATGCCTTTGTATATCAAATCCCGATAATCTGATTTGCCTCGCTGTCTGCTTCTTGTGCATCATCAGACTAGTATTTTCTTTTCCAGATTAGTGATGTACTTAAAAAGAAAATGGCCCAAAGCCATGCATTATGACATTTCCAGATTATGTGTAAAATGTATGTCTGCAATGAACATGTTTTAAAAAAACCCACAAAAAACAAAGCAATAAATACATAATCCTCCCCTGTAAGAATATTCTTTAGAAGTTATGAACTAATTGAATCAGTTATATAGTCTAAAATCTTGAAACATATGAACTCTCAAATTGAACATTTTATCATCCAGGAACTAAAAATAAATACTATTTATTTTTGTCTAAACAGAAGTGGCCACCATTCCCTGACTTTTATTTCCATTCAACTTTTATCTAAGGTCTTGATTATAGTAGAAAATCAAGAAGCTTCTTTTATCAGCCCAATTTAATGGGAAAGCTCTTAGACTAGCCTACGTGCAAAAAGTAAGTTAGTAAAGTCTATTCTCCCAAAAGTACGGTTCATGTACATCTTGCATAATTAACAAGGATAACTTCAAAAAGGGAAGAGAAAGGATTCCATATTGTAGCTTGCAGGCTTTGAAAGCTCAATATTATATTCTCTCCCTGGTTCTAATAAGAGTTTTCTTCTCATAAAAAGTATAATACAATGGGCAACTTGAGATTGCAGCTACAAAGAAAATAACTTTATCATCCTCAGACTCAGTAGTGCTAACTGACTATGCCTTGTGTGGATGGTGATTAACTTTAAAAGTAACAACTATCATTGCTATGTGTACAACTCATAAAGTACAGATTTTTGTGGGATCAATAAAATAACAAAACTTGAATAACCTCAATAAAACCTGAAAAAGAACGATTTAACCAAAAGTACTTTAAGTTATTAATTAGTAGTGCATATTGTCTGTCTTGAAAGACAACTCTGCAAATAAGAACCATGCTGTTTCAATATAATCCAAAGAGCACGTATCCATCGCCAAGCTGCTTGTGCTTCCCACAGCCGCAATTTATTGCAAACCTTGATCCTAATATTTTTTCTATATTACATTTCAGTTTATACATTCTACACTGTGGCTGAACTTAAAACAAAGAGAAAACATACTTACTTTCACAATACTTCTTAAATCCTGCACGTACGTTCTTTCGGTCTCTAGAATTTCTTGGACCACTCTGTCGACATACAGGAGTTTTGGACTTGTAGACTCAACAATCAGTGACATGACACAGTTTTTGTTGTTTTCCTTTGTTTCAGGTTTTCGTGGCATATTTGTCTTTCTTCCAAGATTTCCATCAGAGAGTTGTTCCTTGATGGGGTTATTTTTTCTTAGGTCTTTGCTGGGAAATTGTTGGGTTGGGTGCAGCTCCAACTTTATGGCCCCCACTTCCTTATCCTCATTGAACAAACCCAGATGACTGTTGGAAACCAAGGTTGTTCTGCTACCACAGGAACAGTGGCTATCCCTGGAGGATGCTGAGGAAGACGTTGAGCTGAAGCTAACTGGTCGGTCACTGTCTGACAATTCCATTGCTTTGATTCCACAGTAGAGGAAGTGTTGATTTTCTCTCTGCAGGTTCTTTCCTATCTTCTTGGGAGCTGTGCCTACCATTGCTGGAGGCAACCCATTAAGACTGAAGCCATCTTTATCAGAGAGAAAAATAAATATTAATTTCGCATGTATATTGGATTTCATTAAAAACCATTTTACTTATGCACAGAAAAATAATCATATGGAAGGCTATCTTCAGACATTTCAGTGAGTACAAGCAGACCAGGAGGAATCTGTTGCATATAAACAACAATCCAAGGAATCATCTATCAGTAGGGACTTCTACCTTTATTTTTAAACTTCATTTGAATAGCCTTTTTTTAAAAAAAATAATCAGCATTCGTATTTCCATATTTATTGCACAACATTTTTTAAAACTAGATGATCAAAATGATTACTGGGCCAACCTAAACAAAATTGAAAAAAACAAAGAACGAAAGAAAAAAAACTTGAATGGAATCTAAATTAAGTTGATGCAAAAAAAAACCTTAGTGTAGCTTTGCCTGCTTGAACATAAATAAAACTATTAATCTCTGATCCATAGAAACTTATAAAAGAAATTCAGAAATACCCATTCCGACAATATAGAAATTCTTACCAAACTATAAACAATAGGACTAGGAAGAAAAACCACTGTCACACACAAATATATAATGGGCAAGGGGAGAGACTACAACTCCTAACAACAAATAAAGAATATACAGATACAACAGTAAATCTGTGAGCAATTTCTGTTGTGACTTTATCTCCTGCCATTCTGAGTAGTCTGTTCAGCCCATGTACATTGACAACAAATCAACAGCATCCATAAATATCCAAAGCCAATCTACTGCAGAAATCACCTGGGAATTGTTTTGAGCTGCATTTAGTGTAAATAGTTTCACTACTATGTATCTGTATTTTGCCATAATTATTTCCCTGTAACCATTATGTTATGAACAACTGTACCTCCCAGCTCTCATTGTAGAAGAACGATGCTTTGTATGCTGTTTTGTTGAAAAATCCTATAAGCATATTGATAATCAAAAATTGGTTCCTCTTCTCATTTTCTTTTCATTAGATTTATTATGATGCCTACTCCAAAAGTCTCTTAATTGCATTATCCAGCTTGTGTATATGAATTCATATTTTACTGGGCATATTGCTATGTTAGTTCCAGGAAACTCTAATAAGTCATTAATAAAGTAAACAAAATGTCTGGTTTGGCTGGAATTCCTAGGTTTTTTTAAAGAAGATTTTTTCTGTTACTCATGTTTATTTATTAAACTTGCCCTATCCATATATCTTGGAATTCTTTTTAACAAAATGATAAGCCACTTCAATTATCCTGACATAAGAATTGCATGGACACAGTCATCAAGAGTTGGTTTAAATAAAAGGGCATTGTTATGGTTTATCTATGTAATATGAAGTTAATTATAGTTGACACTGTAATAACTGAAAACTGAAGATTTATTATAAGTAATGAAATATGCAGTTCTTTAGCAAAGTAACAGAAAAATTATTTCCTTTGATTTCTGATCAAGAACTATTTTAAATCACAAAGTAAAGAATAATAACTACTCTTCAAAAGTAGACTGGTTGGAAATCTGGGTAAATGAGATAAATGAAAACCTTTCCTCTAATTATCAGAAGACATAATAGCTACAACATAAAGTACAATAGGGGATATTTGATAAGCTGCTTTAGGTATCTCAGCTGAAGTACAGAGTTCCTATTTCATCCAATCATCCCATAGCCTTTCTTCCTGTTCACTGCTGTGTCGCCTCAATTACAGACAGCCCAAAAGCACCACTAAACTATTTGCTTTGTCAATACTACACAAAAAGCATCTGAGAATTCCTACAGTTTAACAAAAGAAAAACAGTGTTTATTCTAATTTTATGACCTTTTATTCCCCCAAAATGCAATGAAAAATAGCTATAATAGATTTTAATGTCACAAGCCTTCAGAAACAGAAGCTTGGCAAATAACAAGAGAAAACCAGCTCAAGTGATGTCACCTGAATATAATAGTTTTGTCTCTAAATCAAATATTAGGATTGTGCAAATGCTATTGAACGCTTAGGATTGTGATCCATATTCCTATTTTAATGCATTTTTCCAGAAACTCAATGAACACAAGCTGTTATCAAATGTACACACAAAGATATGACATAATCTAGACATACAGAGAGAAACCAATGGAGTAGATCAGGGGATACCAGTCAATGCAATCCCATTCTTATTTCTCTTCAAACCCTGCCTGCAAAAACAATATATATGTTTTGGACTAGATTCAGGATTTACTTATTAAAACAAAAGCCTTGAAAAGTGTGCCTGTTGATAGAATTGCTGCTGCACGCTAGCTAGAAAGTTCAGAGTAATATTATATAGTAAAATAGTTCAGCATATTTTCTATTTAGACTGGTCTGGTCTACACCAATTGGCAGCATACCGAGGTACATTTTTCTCATCATGTTATTATTTTTTAAACTGGCAAGGAGTTTTTTTTTTTTTTTACTTACATCAAAAATACAGATGACTCAAATGGATAGGTACTGCTGCCTAGCTACAAATAAGCCTTTTAAGCTTATTTGCTAGAAGAAAAAAAGAAAAGAAAAAGAAAAAGAAAAAAAAACTAGAGAAGTAAGATCCTGCATTACACTACCCTTGAGATTCCTTCCCTTTCTGTGACCCTATGACAGGAAAAAGCAATCTGCAGCCCAGGACTACACCCGCATGTGAAACCTTCCATTTTTTTGGTAGCCTTTCAATTGCCCACTAACCACTACTTTTCAAACCCGAGAACTAAATATCCATCTTCGAAATTAAAGTATTAATTTTAAGCACACAAAAACTATAAATTAAGCCATAAAAGCATCTTGACATACAGTACCCTTTAACTCCCTTTCAGGGGAAAAAAATCTTTATCCATTTGTAGCATTATGCCATCCATCTTCATGTCGTCTCCCAAAATATCTACTATAAACTAAAGATACTCAAAGACTCCTATGATGCTTAACATACAAAGTGGCAACATTTACTCAGTTCTTTTCAATCTATAATAATTAATTAGATCATTCATTTCAATAGTTTTCCTATTCTTTGTATCATTTGCTATCAAATAAGAGATAAATTTAAATAAAACTATGGTGGGTAGACTTGAATGAAATCTCCATGATGACACACCTGTGCTGGGCATCTTATTTAACTCCAGCCTTAAATTTGATTCAGAGGATGGAAAGCCCAATTCTACACATTTTCTTAGTATTTTCAATTGACAAAGGTATGTTAAATTGGTTTGGTTTGGTTAAATGCTGGAAAGAGAACTAATTGCACTTATCAACACTCTGCTGGGAAATGTGGTTTAGTAACGTGATCCTTTCTCACTCATAACTTTCCACAAATGTTGTAATGTTCCCCACCCTGTCTGATTTCCTCCCTGTGAGGTTTCATACTGCTTGCTGATATTCTAAACAAAGATTAAACATGCACGCACGCGCACACACACAAACAAAGCTGTAGAGATAGTTTCTCTGTAAAATTGTAAAAGTATGTTACCTCTGTAAAAGTATGTTACCTCCACACCCACAGATAACTAAAATTAAAAATATGCATTTTAAAAACACATATGAACCCAGCTTTCCAATGCAAATGATATGAAGTTCTAAAAAGAACTATACCACAATTTATGCTTTTTGATCATGACTTCAGTAATGCTAACCCTTTAACTGTTATAACAATTACAAAAACATCCCTTGTCTCTAGCAGCTTCAAAAGTTAAAATACTATAATGTGTTTCAAAGATGATTGAATGGTTAATACCCTTAAATGAATGAAAGTACCTAATTTGGACATTTGTAACTCAGAGGAATATAATATTTTCATGCTTAAATGTATACTATCTACTAGTTTAACATTATATAATTCACTGCCTGCATTTTTATTTCTTATTTTTTATGAAATCAATCGTGTGTTCCACAGGTTGAATTTCATGAAAACAGGAGAGGCTGTGTATAGGGTATATGCAATTTGTTTGAAAATGTCCTAATCAAATTTTATTTGAATAGGACAATATGGTCTAGAATTGGATCAACACATGCATACATAAACATATCAAGCTGTTGAGTCAAGAAAACGCCTCACCCACCCACCCACCCACAAATCCCTGAATGATAAGGCACACTCTTAAATACCGAAGATTTTGAATAGTACCATGGATAGACATCCCTGCCATTTCAACAAAACCAATTAAACCCCAAATTATTCAAATAACACAAATAAAATTTGCATCCTTTACAGTCCACAAACATGCTCTCTACAGCTTAGCACATCAGAGCTAAAAATACAAGAGTGTCTCAAATAAGGGTCCCCCCCCTTAATTCCTTAGCATTGTGCAAGCTTTCAACCCCCCCCCCCCCCAGTTCTCCCAAAACCGAGCAAGAATTCAAGATTTTTAGCAAATCCAGTTGTCTTACAGATTCTTACCATCTTAAGAGTTTTCTGTCATATCATGAAATATCCTGGAGTCTCAAGCACTTTTATGAGGTAGAATTTTCGGCAACACTTACCTCATCACTATGGAATGCCTCCAACTTTTTAAACAATGACTGAACTTCTCTCCCCCCCCTCCTCCTACCCAAAATGAGGTATAAGCTACCTGTGCAACCAAAGATGAAGGCATCCTTCAGTTCCTGCAGCTGCAAAATTACCACTCCAGAGCCCTCAGGTAAAATGAGTCTTATTAGTCTATATGGCTGCTTCGATAGAAATATTACACGAGTCAGCCTTTAACTACTAAGCCCCTCACACACAAAAAAAGTTTCCCCCGGAACCTGATTCACAACTTTCTCATTGCCTGTACTAAATGCAGTTTTGAGCATTGCTAAGAGCTTTAAATGAAATATGACATCATTCAATTCAAGAACAGGACAATAGACACTACTGTGAATAACTAAAGTGCACACTTCGCTGAGCAATCCCCTGCAAATTATTCTTTCAAGCAGAGACCTGAGAAGGAAAAACATTTTAACAGAGCAATTCTTACAGCATTTTGCTGCTTGTTTTCAAACCACTGCTCACTCCTAGTAACATTAAAAACAC